CTAAAGAACAAAATATGAAACTTGGTTTGATTAGTCATGCAACTGTTGAAGGGTTACGTGTAACGTTAAAATCAACATTGTTTCTACTTCATTACATGACAGAAGAATTAAATTTAAAATACATTTTAACTTCAAGACTAAGTCAAGATGCATTAGAAAATTTATTTGGTATTATCAGACAGTCTAAAGGTTGTAATGATCATCCAACACCTAGTGAATTTTTGAATATTATTGAAACACTGCGTTTTTACAATCTTGCCAAGTCACCAAAGCATGGAAATGTATCAGAGGAAGTTATAACTGCACTTCTTGCACCCTCCATTGATAAAATGCATGCTGTAAAAAATAGTCAACATATTGAGCATGTAATTGACCAACTGATTGAAAAAGGTCAGTTGGTTGATGCATGCTCATCATTTGATTTCTATTGTACAGCTGTTGATCATACGTACACATCGCAACAAAGTGACTCGCGTATAATTTATTACGTTGCGGGATATGTTGCTAGAAAGTGGATTAAAGTGGAGAAATGTATTGCTTGTTCAGAAGTTTTAAGAAATGTTGGACTAGAAAGCACAGTAAATTCTGAATTTATTTCTTTAGTTAGTAAAAAGAATCTTACACATCCTTCAAATAGTTTATATGCATTGATTGAATATCTTGAGAAGTGTTTTGTGAATTTTTTTAATGTAAATATAATAGAAAGAAGCAGTGTTGTACAATTTGTATCAACGCTCAAATTAAGTCATTATGTAGGTTGTGATTTACATAAAATAATGCTGACCAAAAAAATTCTAAGATTTTATATTATCACACGATTTCATTTTTACACAAAAGCTTTAAACAAGCAAGCAAACACAAGTCAGAAAGGTAAATTTTTAAAACTTCATAGAACTCGATGAAAAGAAGCTGTACTTAAGCTAGAATTTCAAGATACAAGAAATATCACCTTTTAATGAAAACTCCCCCCCCCCAACTGCAAATATCATCTGCATTGACATTGGCCTGTTTAATAATATTTTGTCAAACCATTTTTGCCATTATTGTACAACAATGTCAAACAATTGATGCAATAAATGTGATCAAGATCTTTCACTATTTCAGTGATCGAAGCTGATCATTGTAGTTCTGAATAGCGTAAGATTCGTTAAATATGATAAGTATTGCTTCAGGTTTATGTAATGATTTGCCTCATAAAATTTTTGTTTCCTCAACTCTAACAGTATGGCTGTAAAATGTATCAATAAAATGCTCTTCGAAATGCAGTTTGCACATACAATCCTGATTTGATAGCTCTGTATTCCCTCAAAATTCTTTTTTCATTAATTATAATAAAATTTAGAAGCTTTAAACAGTGACTCTCTTGTGGCATCTTATTGTCCACATGTGCAACTAACTATAAAAAAACTTTCAAAATAAATTTAGGGTTACATCAAGGTAAAGTATCTCTTTTATTTTTCCACCAAATAAATGGATTTTTTATACTATATATGTGTGTGTGTGTATTGTCATTTCTCTCATTTCATTCATATATAATTTAATAATGTTTTGAAATCTAATTTGCACATTATTTGACTACATTCAAACAATAAAAATTTGACATTGCTAATTTTGCTTTAAGTTAACCAGATCAGATGTAATAATTTTCATTATCATTTCGAAATGAAAATTAGGTTGTTTGATTAAGGCAAAACATATGCACTACATAAATTAAACTAAGAAGAATAATGTTTTCATGGAGTACATTTTAGGGTGCCAATTCATTTCTCAAATATTATTAAATCAAACTGCCTTACTTTCATGATTCAGTTTGATTTAATAATATTTATAAGTATATACATTGCTATAATGATGTAGAAGTCATGTAAATTTTCTATTCTAAAGTGATGATAAAATCAAAAAAGCCTCTAAGAACCATGAAATTAAGGTAAAAATACATTTTTTATAACAAATACATAGATTTTATATATGCATTTTCATTTTCTCACTTTCATTTCATTCATACGATAGCGCTTTGACATTTGTTGTAAAATTTAATTTATATATAAGTTGCCTGCATTTCAAATGCAGTTCGACAATAAAAATTAGCATTACTTATTTTGCTTTTAAATTAATTAGCATCTGAGATATGATAATTTATGTTATAACTTAGAAATTATTTAGGTTGTTTAATTTAGGCAAAGCACATGAAAGTTATCTGCTTAAGAGGAGGTTTTATATTTGCTTTTGTAGAAGGCTTTTGAAGGGAAACTGACTGAGATTCACATTAGGTTTGGGGGGAAACCATACAAAATCACATGCAACCAGCCTGTTTGCTAGGAATGATTACAGGTTAACCAGTGTCCAAGAATTTTACCTCTTAATATTGGTGGGCCTCAAAATGATCAAAGATTGTTTCACACTTCTGTGCACTTAATTCAGACATTATCTATCAGTAAAACCAGGTAAATATTAAAAGATAATGCAAGAAAACCTGAGTAGTAAAAATGTAGAGCTCTAAATGTTCACAAATTTGAATTAAAATTGTCTAAATTTTTATGGTTTTTATAGATCCATTCAGTTTTAAGTGATATATCATAGTTTCATATTAACATACTTATACAAAAATAAATAAATAAATGATATATAAATTTTAGCATTCATGTAAATATCTTTGAATGAAAGTGTGAGTCCATTGTTCCATGTGAATTCATTTGCTATATTACTTGATAAGAGGTAGAAGGTATTGAGTTTTATATAGTGCAATTTATAAAGAATTTAGGAAATGGCAAATTTAAAATGGTCATACAAGATGAGCATTAAAAATATATAATTTCTGTAATATATGCAAGCAAAAAAAAAAAAAAAAAACTTCTGTAGGCCTCTTAAAGGCGCCATGAAATTAAATAAATATATTTCTTAAAAAAAGATGAGAAAAATTTCGTGTGAAATATGTTAATTTAGACCTTTAAACATAATTGAAATTGCAGTAAACGTCTCGGATTTATGGGGCACATGTGATCACAGCGCCATCTAACGGAATGTCGAAACTCGATTACGAAAAATAGCGCCGATAATTCCACTATATCTTCTAGTACACTATACAATAGTAACCAGCAGAGGCACTAGCAATATTGAATGCGCACAGTCAACCTTTTAAATGCGTTTTACACGGAAATGTCACACGCACTCAGGGATCATCAACACTTCATATCATAGTACATCAATCAAGCCCGCTTTAAGGTAGGGTGAAAGGACACCGACAACGGGATGACGTCACAGACCGACTGGCTAATGAGGCTGCCAACAACAGCCACGCTCAAACTAATAAGAGCAAAACTACCACCGTCTCACACCTCAAGAAAACTCTGCGTAATATCTGTAAAGAAAAGTGGGTAGTTTTCTCTTTTTTTTTTTTTTTTTTTTTTTTTTTTTTTTTTTTTTTTTTTTTTTTTTTTTTTTTCTTTTTTTTTTGTTTCCGACACAGGGAGAAGGACGTATATTTTCCTACCAAAGGTAGACACGGAACGTCTTATAACAATAGCCCCACTGACACAGTACATAACGGGTCATGGCTCATTTCCATTTTATTTTATGCGTCATGGCATCTCAGCATCTGACAGTTGTGTCTGTGGCATGCTAGGTTCTCCTGAGCACTACCTATTTGACTGCGGTCTAACAACAAACCACCACTTTCCACATCCAACAAATGATAGAACACTTTACTATCGTTTCATAATCAAACACCCGCCAGCTATCAGGAGTATCTGCGCAGTTGTACAGCAAGTCAACGCCCTAGGGCAAGACATTTGCGAGCCACAATAGCATGGTACTGCAGACAATGTACTCAACGCAGTATGTACACATTCTGTAATACACATTCCACATTCAATTTCAAGCCTCATGTTAACATCTGCTTTCAATAGCCAGCAACTTGCAGAAATAATTTTACTGACATGTTTATCTGTGTAAAGCACTGGGCACCCAATGGAATGACGTGTTATCGTAAATCGAAATATATAATATCCGTACAATGCACGAATGTAGTGTATGCAACGAAATGTGTAAATCATGCAACAGAAGCCCCTAATGAAAGTATGTACATTATGTATAATGGGAACTGAGCATATTTCCGCACAGCGCTACTGCTTTACACACACCTTACTATGTCTCGTATGTTTCTTCTGTGTGTAATATTTGCATTTATGTGCTCTATGTGTTTTCATATGTATTCTATGTGTCATGATATGTATTCTCGTGTTTTTATGTCTTTATGTTACGTAATTACGAGTGTGTTTTTATGCTTTTATATTTAATTTTGTATATCTATGTGTTTCAGCTTATATGAGTTGTGTTATACTGTCCCTTTAATACTATCCTTTATATTCTTTTTAAGTTACTTTGTGTTATTAACAACGTCCTATGTAAAAACTACTTGACATCTAGCCCCTGTATGGCCATGTAAACTCCCGGTGCAGCCTCATGGGGCTTCACCGAGTTGCTTCTTCGAGATAGTGGAGGATGTGGGACATATGCCTGTTTACCTATGTTATACGCCAGACATCCCCGTCCTCCGTCACCTGTATACATATTGCTCTGTGATGAAGATTGTATACTTGTTTCCTAGGAGACTAGGGGTGATCATAATGTAATGACTCTTCAATATAGGGATAACCACATGGTCATGAATACAAACAATATTTTATGTTTTGATAGACAATTATTTTATCTCCTTAAATTCTCTTAGTTTGATGACTGTGCTAAAATGTTATTGTGTTGGCATATTCCTAACAGAATACTGGGTTTTGGATCAAAAAATCAATATTCTATTTTCCTTTATCTTTATTGCAATCAGATATAAACTTTATACTAAAAAAATTATAAATACAAAAAGTTTGAATAAATATTATTTAATTCTGTATTAATTGTTTTTTCCTCAATAAATTTCATATCTGAATTGTTCTAGTCAATTTCATTTGAACTATTAAAATTAGCTTTCAAATTAACATCTTTCTTATTAGATTGTACCAGGTGATCCTCTAGACAAAGGCATAGTTATCCGACCTTTAGAACCTCAGCCAGCGGCACATTTAGCTCGAGAATTTATGATAAAGACACGGAGAAGAAAAGTAAGTCATAATAATTTTGTCTAAAAATAGAAAGTAAAGAGGAAAAAAAACAGTTATTTCAGAATGATTTAAAATTCTGTATTGTTTCTGAAAATCATATATGAAAAATTTTCTTAAAAGAATCCAGGTAATGTATTCAGATTTAAAATCTTTTGCATTATGTTGACTTAATTCTGTTTTATTTAGATATTTAATGGAATTGTTGAATACTTGTCATTCTTATTGAAATAGATCAAAATGAAATATTTTTATCTTAATCAAAAATGCTCAAGGGAATGAAAAGTAAATGGTAAAAGTACAAGTAATAGTTTGATATGATTTTAATAAACATCATGTAATACATGTGAAATGTAGTTAGCAAATATGCTTTTTAAAGCTACTGTTCACGAATTAAGCCTCTTAGCTCTAATCTAAAAAATAAAAACTAACCGAACATAGCATTCATTACAGAGGTTTCAAATACCAAAATTAATATAAGTTTTTTAATTGATTTTACATTGTTTATCAGAATTTTGTGTCTTAGTTTTTGTGTAATTAATTTTTTCTTATAAAAATACTGTTATTTATGTATAAGCTACTGTAATTAGTAACAATTAAAATAAAATTTTAATGTTATCTATAATATCCCTATATTTAAAAAGATCACAAACAATACTCTATGTTCACAAAAAATTACTAAGTTATGTTTGAAGTATGAAAACCTACCTTCTAAGTAATATCCTTTGAAGCATACATGCTTCATACTTGCTTCAGTGCTTCCAACATTGAAGCAAGTGTGTAGCACTTGTGTAGAGAGTATACTGACTGACAGCCAAACTGAAACATTATAAGCTTCATTTATGTGATATGATTTTTCTGCAAAAATGTTGAATAGATGGAATCTCAGGGTCCAACTGATGATTAACATTTTGGGTTTTAAAACATCTTTCAAATGTGTTTTCATTGCACATATAGCCTCCTGGATAAGTTCTGATAGCTTGAGAAGCTATTATATATATTGTGTAGTATGAAACATTTACATCTGCAGAAAAAGATAAAGGTCATCAGATGTTAAATCTGGGTTGAAGGCATATTTTATTTCTAGCCAAACAGTAAATGAAAGTTTGAATTAAGCAGTAGCTAAATAATATTCATCATATTGTCTTTTTGCTATTATAATCATTATGAACATTATCAGCACCTTTATTGAATTTTCCTATAAATGGATCAGATATGGAATATGGTTAAATTTAAACAGCAGACTTATTTTTTTATGATGTCATAAAACTCATTACGTTGTTAAATTTCATGTCTTCCGTAACGCATAATATATATTCAGCCCCCTTCCTGAAAAAATGTTTTGTATGTTAAAAATTTTGGTACTTTTCCGTTTCGCCGGTGCAAATCTCGCCAAGCAGACTTTATTGGCGACAACATACAGTATACACATAAAAAATATTAAAAAAATTTTAGTTCTAAGAATTCTTTTTTTGAAGGCATAAACATTTTAATATCCTTAAACTTTAAAAAAACTTATAATAAAGACAATAAATTTGTAAAAAAAAAAAGACATTAATTTAAGAATTTACTATGCTTTCATGGTTCAAACATCCGTAATTCGCCGGTTCATATCACGTGACCCCAAGCGATCTCATCTCACGTAAAACTACTCTACAAAAATCTAATGCTCTCAGTAATTATCTACATTAATTTCAAGTTAAATCTTAATTTGGAAACACAAGTTTAAATGCAAGAAATATTTCAATTCGTACGAATAGCTTACTCAGAAATTATGTAAAACTGCAGTGCTTTACTTCGCTAATGCATCCTCATTAGAATTGATTGAATTTAACCCTTGACTTTACCTTTTCTATATTTTTTTGGCTTCGGGTAAGAGCTGTGATTGCATCCTAATTGACTTAATTACTACCGAAAATGGCCTTAGACATAAAAACTGAACTATCTGATAAAAATTCTATGTAATTATATGCCAGTATTGAAAAAAACCAATCAATCTGATAAGAAAAAGCTGCGACTTGTTTTGAAAATGAGGCGTAAAAGGTTACCAGCGAGAATATTCCGTTTGACATTGGTTGTACCATTATTGGCGACTTTATCGCTTGCGCCGGCAAAACGGAAAAGTACCAAAATTTTCTAATACGATATACATTTGAAAAGATTCACATATATGTACTTTTCTTTTGGCAGGGTCTTAGTGAAGATGTTAGTATTAACAAATTCTTCGATGATCCTATGTTGTTGGAGCTGGCTCGTCAAGACGTCATGTTAAACTATCCATTATAATAACAATGCACTGAACTTTTCCATTTTATGTAAATAATAATCAAAACATCTTGTATAAACAATTTTAATAAACATTTCAAATAATTATGAATATATTATTAATCTTCAAATTAATTAAAAAAAACTATTTTTATAAACATGTATTGATTTACAAAATGGTGGATGAAGCAATTCCATTGAAAGAGGACAGTGAAGTGGAAGAAAGCACTGTTTGTTGGTCCTCAAAATGATCTTGGATTGCTTGATCAGGCAACTAATTAAAACTCAACCAGTGAGTATTCTGAAACAAAATGAAATACATTACCATTTTCAGCAGATGCTACAAATTATAATAAATTATTAAAATGTTTGTCTGCAAGTAATTATAGAAATAAATTTGGCTTCCAATTTGATTTAACGAGGTATATCACTTTTATTTTTACATTTCATATAAAAGTTACTTATTTTTAAAATGCATATTGAATCACTTTATATTCTATAAATATGCTTTATTTAGAAACATTATGCACATTTGTTCATAAATATAACATAATAAATTTATGATGCATAAAAAGGAGAGAACTATAACTAAAGAGATAATTAAAAACACTACAAGTTTCTCCGTATTTAATTTTCGGCTAAACGGGCTGGCTGCATGCCACATCCTTCCCATTTTTTAAATAAATGAGAAATTTCTCAAAATTTTCATGAAAGGTGTATAATTTTTGATAACTAATAAAGAAAAATTTTCTGAAGTTTTAATTGGGGTCAGTCTCAATAAATAATGCAGAGGAAACATTTTAATTTTTTTTAAACAAGGTGATAACTTCTAAAATATTAAATAAGTTTTCAATTAAAAAAACAATAATTTTCATCAGAACTTATTTAGGAAAGGATTATTAACAGGATAATATATTTCCTTCATTATGAGTGATTTATACTGCACTGGGCGATGATCTAAATTTATCTGCATCATAAGAGACAATCTCAAATTTTTGGCATTAAAATTACATCTGACAAGATAGAAATTGCTAAGTTCACACAACCTTAAGAATAGTTCTTTTAACACAAACAGTACAACAAAAGTTACAAAACTCTTTAATATTGCTATTCGATAATACAGTCAAAAGTCTTTAATCCGGACTCGTCGGGACTTCGGCGATTCCGGATTCTAGATCATCATTTAAATCTGGTAGAGCATGCGCATTATAAAATTAAAAATATGAAACCATATTTATGAAATAAAAGCAATTATGATCTAAAGGGTATCAAATTTACAAAAAAAAAAAAAACTTAATATTTATTTGTTTACTTTATGAAATATTTCTTTCAACGTGCACATGCGTAAAGCATACATTACGCATAGTCGAAATTAGAAAATTGCAACCAGAAAAATATTTGATGTGTATTCGTGATATTTATAATGACGAGGAATTTGATTTAAATTATATCAAAGACTGGCTACATCGAGATGAAATACTACATTTAGTAAGGAATTATAAGTTGAATAAAATAAAGACATCTGCCCTGAAGATAAGGATAGTGCTGACAGATCAGTTTCCAGTTCATTGCGTGCTGCGACGTCCCCCCCCCCACAGAGCAGCGTAAAATTGATAAACAGATTTCGGAATAGTTAGAGAAACAAAGGATATGCCTTTATCCATTTTTTGCAGGAATTCCACTTTTTGTTCAATGGAAATCGAAACATGCTTTCACTTTGTAGATCCTTTGGCAGCTCCAGAATCGGAAATTCTTTTTGGCATAATCGAAAGTTCAAGCTTACTTTTATAAAATTGCTCTAACAGTCTGCAAAAAAATAATAAGTCAGATCCAATTCGAAGATTAAGGAAAATTGCAATCTGCAACATTAACTGAAATAGATAATTAGATAATTTTAGCTTAGCTTATACCGTCCGTTATACATTAAACGCGCATGCATAAACACATATGCGTACGCGTAAAGGTATTACACGTTTACGCGTGCACAGAAAGTTTGTAGCTTTGAGGTCTGGATTATAGATCATTCCGGTTTAAAGACTTTTGACTGTATAGTTAAAAAATTTAACCTGATTTATAAAGAAAAATGAAGCATTAGAAAGCTAAAAAGGTTAGTACCAATTTAGTCTTCATTAGATGCAATTAGAAGGCACTTCATGCTGCAGCATCTATTTCTGTAGTGGAAATCAGATTGGTTAATTTTCACGAAGAAAAAACTGAAATGACAACACTGTTTTGCACATAAAAATAAAATCAAAAAGTGCAATGCATAGATGCTTAACAATCTAATTGTATATATGCAAACAGAAGAAAAAAAAACAAGAAGATACAATTTTTGGTTTTATACCTGAACTTTTAGCATTAGAAAACATTGCAAAAATATTACTTAAAAAACTACCAAATTCATTAGATGCAAAGGAATAAATTACCGTTGGATGCCTGGCTTCTTCTCTGCGTATAACTTGCTGAGTTTGTACATCGTTAAACCTAAGTACAGCTGCGATCACTTTTGCTAAAGTCTAAAAAAACAAATATGAATATAGATGTTTTCAATAATAATGTTTCATCAAAAATAATTAAAATCTCATAAAATATTCTGAAATTCATGTTTAAGCACAAAAGACTATTGTCATGGAAAGAACCTCACTTTCTAAAACATATGAACATGTTTTAAAACATTTTTTTTTCTATAAACTTTATAAAATTTAGCCACTAGAAAATATTCTCTTTCAACACAGAATCACTTTAAATTGATTCTGAATTATAAAAACTGAGACCTGTACTGCAACAAGTCCTTGAAATTACTTTTAACGCAAAAGGATTGTCCTTGAAATTACTTTTAACGCCCAAGAAAGGCTCAAAATGGCATTTTGCATCGAATCGCTATAAACGGCTGTATCACTTTGCAAATTGCTGCCACAAACTATTATCACCCTGTATTACATTTTAAGAAATTAAATAATGAAGAATCTGCATGAATAAATGTATGTTTCTCGCACTGCGAAAAAACTATACGTAGAGCCATCAATTTTTTAATAACGTAGTCCTCCACTTGAATATGGGCACTGTGATGCTTCTTTGGCGACATGAAGCAACTCCAATGATGGAACACAGCAATAACTTTTATTTAACACTCAAAAAAATGGCGACATACAAACAACAAGAAAACATATTCTAACATTAAAAATAAATTACATCTTCGTGCGAGATCGCACGTGGCACCGAGTCTGGTTTCAAATATTGCATTCACAATACCTTAATGTTTATCTATTTAAATTATTTAACTACAAGATTTTAATATTATTAAATCTTTTACAACCTCTCCCCCAATGAAGAGACTTTTACCGAAGGGAAAAGTCTGTAAATTTTTCGAAAGTTTATAAGCTCGGCTTGCTCAATTGCTTAAAGAGAAAGATAATTCTCTCATAAGTTTCCAAATTTTTGGGCGAAATTTTAAATTAAACAAATATTTTTACACCACAAATAGAAAAAAAAAATGGAGAACGTTCAATAATCAGTTGAGTATACATTAAATAAATAAATAAATCCAAACGTGTTACATACACTAAGAGTTATTATATCTTAATTCTACTCAAACATCTACGTTTCTTGTGCAAAGATCCTTGCGATG